CAGACGCGGGGCTCGATCCCACGACTCTGAGATCATGACCTGAGCCGAAACCAAGAGTGAGACGCTCAACTGACTGGGCCACCCAGGCACCCTGCAATGTCTCAAGTTTAAAGGATTATTGTGTAAATCAAATGGCCTGTGTCGTGACTGTGCAGTGAAGACGAGATGTGGGGGCAGGCGGTGCTGCTCGAACTGGGCGCCACGGCCTCCTGGCAGCTCAGGGACGTGCTCGGATCCAAAGAGAAGTAGGAAGGAGCTATTTTTCCAGTTATAATTCACAATGAAGAGCCATGAGGACAGAATAAGACATTGGTTTGAGACAGTATTTCTTTTGAAGTTTTCCAATTAAAAGGGATGCAGGGCAGGGAGCCTGGCTGGCGGTTGGTAGAGCACGCCACTCTTGATCTCCAAGCTGCTGTTTGAGCTCCATGCTGGGTATAGAGATGACTTAAAAAATATATATATATATATATATATATTTTTAAAGATTCTATTTTTTGAAAGAGAGAGGGAACACAAGCAGGGGGAGCGGGAGCGGGCGAAGCAGACTTCCCGCTGAGCAGGGAGCCCGATGTGGGGCTCGATCCCAGGTCCCTGGCAGCGTTGAAGGCAGAGGCTTAATGACTGAGCCACCCAGGAGCCCCTTAAAAAAAAAAAAGGCCACAGGGTTTATTGATGTTTGGAGCCTAATGTGCTCATGAGCCAGAGGCCTCCTCAGCCGTCAGCGCTAAGGGCCCACGTTGTGGGAAGACACTGAAACTCAGCCGGAGAGCTGAGATTCCGGCCCCAGCCAGAGCTCTCAGCCGATCCCCCAGGCGGGCCGTCGAGTTCCCGGGCTGTGCACAGTGCGCCCAGGAGCACTTGCGGGTAGGACCTGCCCTCCAGGTGAACTGGAGCAAGAGCTCTGCTGAGCGGGTGCTGTCCCAGACATGTGTGCCTTTCCTAGGTGCCCTGGACACAGGGCAGTCCCCTGGGCAGGTCATGTCCGGAGGGTCTGATTCATCCAGGAGACACGCTGAAGCTGCTTTGGGGTGCTCCCGAGAATGAAGAGTGCGTGAAACACCTCACACAGGGCCTGGTGCGGGGGCTCGGGCCGGGACGGTTTGGAAAATGAAGCACTTACAGCGAAAGCAGAGGCGCCTGGGTGGCTCGATCAGTAAGCGTCCGACTGGATCTCAGCTTGGGTCTTGACTGAGCTCGGCGGACGGTATGCCGGGGACAGTCGCCCTCTGCCCCCGCCCCTCCCCGCTCGCTCTCAGATCAGTCACAGCAGAAGCCACCATCACACACGTCCTGACCACCTGGGTACCCTCAAACTCGCACCCAGGGGCCCAATCTGGGCCTTGCCCCAGCCCCCTCCGGGGTTCCTCCTGAGCCCCCTCGCTCAGCCCCCCTGGCCCATGACGCCCCCTGGCCTCAGCAGAGCACACTCCGCACCCTCCCAGCTCGCGACGCCGGAGTCAGATCGGAGCGCCCAGCACGGCACGCCCTCTGCCACCCTGGCCGGACTGCGGTTTCTTCGGGGCCACACGGTGACGGACCCGCTCCGACCGGCAGCACAGCACAAAGCACGCAGCAGCAGCTTGATGCACGGGTTCCGATGTCCACGAGGAGTGAAAGCCTAGTGTGCTACGGTGCCTCTGTGTGTGGCGGAGCGTTTATTTAAGAATTTCCAGTTTCCCCCAAAGTATCCTTTTTTAACCTGTTCAGTTTGTTTCTTGTCACTTCTGGGCCTCGGGCTCATTCGCATGGCTGAGTAGGCCGCCCCCGTCTCTATGTGGGTCACCTGGAAGACCTTCGCAGGAGAGGCGGCAGCAGAAGCGTGCCGGCAGGAGGCTAGAAGCAGAACAAGGTCCTGCTTTCATGTAACAGGCGGATAACGGGCAGGGAAACGGTCCCAAGTGAGTGGGACTCATCCTTGCTGGAGGCGGAGCAGGGAGGTGGCCGAGGGCTCGGGAGCTCTAGAACTACCTGGTCAGAAATACCAACTCTCTAACGCGAACATGAGCTTCAACAGCACACCCTAACTCATGCCTTTTCTCCAGGGAGAGGAGCTTCCCCGTTTCCCCGCTTTGCTACAGGTAAGGTCACCTCCTGCGTGCATGGGCTCGGGGGCAGAACGGGAGACCACATCTCCCCTGGGCCCTTCTCTGGTCCCCACACTTCTGGGACTGCTTATGTGAACGGCCACCCCTTCCTCTGCCACAGGACTCTGATCCGTGCTCCGTGCTGTCACCTCCTTAGGCCACTGCCACCAACTGGACCTGCGACCCCCTTCCCCATGCCTGGCCCGTTCTGTCAAGAAGACATCATTCCTCACCCGGGCCGGACAGCAAACGAAGGTGCATCAGAACAGAACTCACACCTCAGACTCACGTCCTTTCGCCACTGCAAAGATAAGCTAAGAGATTTTTATTGCATTAATCATTAAGGGTATACTAATATCTCAAAATACTGATTTCAGACATACGATTACAATAGTCATACAGCGAACAGAGTGGGGACAGGAACCAGCACGCTGGGGGCACATCCGTATTGTACATCAAAATCAATGGCAAATATTTCTCCAATTATTCTTAGAAAAATACTAGACACATTAGAAGCTGAAAAGCTTTGCTTAAAAACATCCTGTAAATACAGGATAAGCTTAGACCTTCAAAAACCAGGTAAAAATTGGCAAAGTAAAACACATGAGAAACACTGGTTAAGGGTCTCACACGTACTAACCAGCAGCAGATACTGTACCAAGGCGTTGTAGCAAAATAAAGCCTCCCACCGCCCGTAGGAGACTGGTTCGTTGCGTCTGTCTTCATCACTACTTCGTTACAGGTAGACTGACTTTAGTCTAACCTGGGTCAGGACTGACCCGAGAGCAAAGCTGTCTCACGTGAGGTAAAGAAAGCAAACATTCCCAGTTTTTGCGTGAACATGGATTGTACTGTTTAATGCAGACCCAAGGCCAAACATTTTTGGGGGTAGGTTTTACTTCCATTACAGGTTCTCTTCATGTAAGATCATAAAAATACAATACAGTGTCACGAGCCCGATTTCAAGTTCCATGCGGCAGCCCCCTAGGAACACGGACAGCTCCCAGCTGCGGACAAGGAAAGCTCAGTCCGGTGTCGCCAGCGTTCCTTACGGGAGAGTCATCAGGTGCAAGAACTAGAACAGGTCGGACAGGAGACGTCATGCCTTAAGTCACGCGAGGATGATGTGATCACCTCCACGACCGAAAGAACCCACACGAGAACGCGCACTGGCTCCCGAGACTTCCCCTCACTCACAGGCGCAATCAGAGCTCACGTCTCTGGAAGAGCTAGGGATCACCTTGTTTGAAAGGAAACAATGGATACTTTAAAAGGAAATGCTGACACTTAACTTTCAAATCTGACTTTGAAAATGAAGTCAAGCCTGGGGCAGGACAGGCCTCAGGCACTTGAGTTTAGAAACTCCACGATTTTAAGAGCACCCGAGAGCGAGGTTATAGAAGGGCAGTCCCAAAAAGGACTTCGGCCAAAGTGAGCTCCCAGTGGTCTGCACCGGGACCTGCAGGCGCTAGGGGTGGGATGAGCACATGGGAAGGGCTCGAAGCCTCAAGACACAAAAATGCCCTTTGATTCCACAATCCGCTGAGTCCTACTGCAACAGTTCTAGCAGGAGAGACATCGAGGGCTTTTAGTTATCGGGCAAAGCAGAAATCTCGAGGGCCACATTTTATCCTCCTTTCAGTAGTCAGGGCTATTCCCTTATCTCTTATTTTTAGCTGCCTACAGTTACCAAATCAGTATCTCTGAAAGAAAATGACAGAAAATGACTGCCGGATCCAAGAGCCGTCTGTCCCCTAGTAGGGTTATTGGGTGAGAGGTGACAACAGCAAGTCTGTTCGCCACCATGCGGGGACCGACACGTTATCAAGGCACTTGAGAACACTGGGAAATTCTTTTCTTCCCATCAACTGGCAGCCACAGAACCGGGTCCCCAGAAAGCAAGTATAGACACCCGCATGCCCTTTAGCGAAAGGGAACCCACCACGCGTGGACAGACCTTACTGGCTCTTTCCGGCCCTTGAGACACCTCCACGTGCCACTGACGTGAGCTCGAAGCCCAGCGGGTGCTCAGAGCTGCTGTCACTGCTCGCCCGGGCGGGAGATGTTCTGATGCCAGGGCCGCGCCCCGCCTCGCGCAAGCTGGCGAGGTCTGGTCCCGCAGAGCTACTCGCCGCCGCTATGGAAGAGCACGGGGCGTGCACAGGGAGTCCGGCGGCGACGAAGCCTCGAACGGCAGCGGCCTGGGACGCACCACACTCAGGCACTTCCGGGAGGCTTAGCGCGGCCGACAGCGGCAACTAATCTCCAGCTTTCGGGATCTTGCCACAGGGATGGGTGTTTCCTTTTTTTTTTTAAGGTCTCCTAACGTCACTTAAATGTTCCCAGCCTTACTGATGACCACTGAACACTGTGAATTGAGTTTACAACAAAAACTTGAAGGTAATAACTTGGTGTTTTATCCCTTCTTCAGGGCAGTCTCAAAGGGTTTTTTTGCTACTAATTTTCATAATTTTCTTATGTTGCACAGGAAATAAAAGAGTTTCCCCTCTAAAGGCAGAGTATGGGGGAAAATACAGACACCATTTTCCAAACAAAAAATGCTTATGAAAAAAAGAAAAAAAAAACAGAAAATCTGAAAACAAAAAACCCCTCACCCTATTAACTTGGGTTGAACCAATCAGGCCTCGGAAACAAAGGAGAAAGCCCCCAAGCTCTCTGCTGTAGGTAGCACAACAGGACATACCATGGTCTGCTTTATGTTTGGACCTTACTTCTAACCAAAAATCTCCCCGTCTCATAATCGTTCCAGCGTCCTGTCAGCCTACGTCTGTATCTAGATCCTGAAAGACCTGCACCCCAGTGCTTGCACAGCCCCCTTAAAAATGACAAAAGCTGCCCGTCACTTTCTGATTTAAAAACCCCCCCAAAAACCACACAACATACGGATAACGATCCAAATGGAAAAGTTAATGTGCTGTAATGACATTTGTTTCGCAACATCAAAAGCAGCAGATACTGAATATAATTTGCTTAAACCATAAAAACGGAGACTGAAATCTGCATGTATAAATCACATCTAGGCTCCGCGAACTGACAGCTCTCCACAAACACGTAGAAGTATACATAAAGTGCAAAACAGGAAGTACCACCCGCGAGACGGCAGCGTCTAGTACTCCCACTCGTCGGACTTCAGGTCCAGATAGCTGAGGATGTTCTGGGCGAGCTTCACCGCCTGCTTCCTGGCGGCCTTACACCTCTCTTCTCCTTGTGGGTCCACGGCGTCCAGGGCCAGCAGCTGCTTCGTGAGCAGCTCTTCTAGCCGGATGTAGTTCTTATCGGTTCGGTTCCCATCAAACGAGAGAACTTCGCCCTGGATCTCGGACAAGTTGCCCAGGATGTCCCAGACCGCTTTATGGGCTGGGTGCTCCTCGCAAGCCAGCGTCTTCCTCTTCTCCAGGGCCTCCTTCAGGTCAATATAGGTTATCAAGGTTTGCACCTCAATGACCGCCCTCCTCCGAGCCTCCCGGATGCAAGGGTTTTTCTCGAGACTGACCTCATCCAACTGCCCGATCAGAGCCTGCAACTCCATCTTGGAGCTCAGGTACAAGTCGGGAGGATTCTGTGCTTGAAGAAGTTCATTTTTTATTTCTCTCATTCTCTTGAGGACCTTTTCTATTTTTAAAATGGAATGATTCTGTCCCAGGTCGAACGCGTAAGTAGTATCTGCTTCCTCTTCCAAATCTAAATACTTCAGTAATTTGTTGATATCTTCCACCACCTCGCGCCGGTAGTTCCTGATTTCCGTCCGCCCGCACACGTCCAGCGCGTCCAGGTCCGCGATCAGGCCCGAGAGCACACAGGATAGGTGCCTGCAGGTCTCGTTACTGTTCACTCCCATGAGCAGTGCGATCAGGGTGCCCCTGGCCTTGTTCACCTCACACATCACCGAGTTGATTTTGGCAACGGAAGGATGGGCGTCCTCGGAGAGCGGCAGAGAAGGCTGCTTCTTCACGCAGTCTTCAATGATCTCCTGCACCGCACATATTTTGGTTAAAGTGTGATACCTCGCTTTCCGCAAGGAGATCTTCCCTCCCGTTTTGACGTGTGTCAGCCTCAGGATGATATCCTGGATGCCTTCTTCAAATTCGTCAGTCACACAGTTGCCCCCACTGTAAAAGGGCACAATCTTCTCCTTCACCAGGGACTGGGCTTCTTTAAAGATGTTCTCTATTTCGATCCGGTGGGGGTGGTTTGCGTTCTGCTCCAGCTCTTTGAGAAGACGCTCTGTTTCTTGGGCCGCCCTCTTCCTCGCTTGCTGAATATCTCCTTTTCCTTCAGTATCCACAGAATCTATTTCAAAAAGTTGTTTCGTTAGAAACCTCTCCAGTTTCTTGTAATTCTTGTCATCTGACAGACCACTGAAGCCAATTACTTGCTGTTCTATGCTTTTTACTTCCTTTTGGATTTCCTGAAGCCTACTGATAGCAGGATGTTGGTTTCCCATATCCATACTTTTGTTGTGTTCGGTTTTACAAGCACTATAAAAAAAAAATTGACGAGAATGCCAAATTACACAACATTGCTACAGAAAGATAACCGTATACTCATTTATTCTGAAATTCTCTTTAAAAAGATATATTCGGGCGCCTGGGTGGCTCAGTGGGTTAAGCCACTGCCTTCGGCTCAGGTCATGATCTCAGGGTCCTGGGATCGAGTCCCGCATCGGGCTCTCTGCTCAGCGGGAAGCCTACTTCCCTCCCTCTTTCTGCCTGCCTCTCTGTCTACTTGTGATCTCTCTCTGTCAAATAAATAAATAAAATCTTTTAAATAAATAAATAAATAAATAAAAAGATATATTCAAGAAAAAGGGCCCATCATTACTGCCATCTAAGCAGCCATACTCAAGTAGACACAGTGACTAATCCACTTTGCTAAAAAGCGCCTTCACACAGCCGTGATTAAGAGCAGACAGGAGGGGTGCTTGGGTGGCTCAGTCGTTAAGCCTTTGCCTTCAGCTAGGGTCATGGTCCCAGGGTCCCAGGATCAAGCTCCACATCGTGCTCCCTGCTCGGCAGGAGGCTGCTTCTCCCTCTCCCACTCCCCCTGCTTGTGTTCCCTCTCTCGCTGTGTCTCTATCAAATAAATAAATAAAATCTTAAAAAAATAAAAAAGCAGATAGGATACTGCAGTGGGGAATGAGCTGGAGCTCTGAGCCTGTGAATGTCCTGTGTCCTCAGCCGGAGCAGAGTAGCATCTGTGCGCACGAGGTCAACCCCGTTTGGAAACAGTACAGGAATCTCAGGTAACGTTAACCTCGGCCCTGGTTGTTGGCAGGAGCTGGGCACCTTTGTCGACATACAACAGCAGCTCGTTTCACCTTCAAAGCTAACCGTGCCATCCCAGCACCTCCCTGGCCCAAGAGCTATTCCTAGTTTCCAGAAAAAGGAGCTCTAGGTCGAACAATTAGCAGCAGTCACCCCCCAAGAAGTCCCGCTTCTGCGTTCCTCCCCACCCTTCACTGCTAAGCGACCGTTTCTCCCCGCCCGCTGAGTCGCTCACAGATTGTCCCTCCAATGGAAAGGAAAGGCGACTGGCACCGTGTTCAAAGTACCACCTTGGCCTCTGGAGGGCTAGGACCTCCCCAGGCCCCACCATACTCCCTTCCCCACCCCCCACCCGTCAGATGCGACAATCCATTCATTAGCCTCCCACTGAGAGGCCGGAGTGGCTCAACGCATCCCCCCAAGCTCTGAGTGTCTCCCGCCGGCTCACGAGGAGGACGGACGATCAGCGGACACCAATCCCTTGTGGGTGTCCCGGCCAGGAACAGGCCTCCGGAGGCCCCCAAAGGGCGGGCTGCCCGGCTTCCTTGCCCCCTTCTCGCCCTCCCCTGCCAGCACTTTACCCAGAAGAGATCTAAGCTGGTTTGGTCTTGGTTTCCCGTGGGTGAGGTGGCGAGGTGGAAGGTCAGCCCTTTACGGGGTGCGGCACCGGAGCTGGGCCCCTAGCTGCATCCCTCTCACCCCTGCCGGCTAGGTCTGAACCCGGCGGCCGGTGAAGGGGCCGGCGGTGGCGCGGCAGCTACTGGCCAAAGCGGCCGCTCCGGGGGTCTCACTCGGACCCCCGATGCGCCCGCCGGCCCTGACCTCACAATGGCCCGCGCGGGGAGGGGACGGCCGCGCTCGGCCGGGCCGCCGAGCCCCCCGGGCGGGCGGAAGCCCCGAGAGGGGGGCGAGCGGGCCGGCCCGCGTCGGACGCAGGCAGGACGCTGTGCCTGGCCGAGACCCCGTCCGGCGGGCGCGGGGGGCGCGCCGGCGCAGGGGTGGTTCGCGGGCCCTCCCGCCGCCGCGCCGCGCTTACCTGTGCCGCCCGCGCCATCGCGCGCTGCGCCGCCGACGCCCCGCGACTCCGCCGCTCCCGCCGTCGCCCTCCCCGCGGCCCCGCCCCGGGCCGAACAGCGCTCGCCCTGGGAAATCGTCCTCCGGCGCCGCGCCGCGCCCGCGCCGAGCCCGCCACTACCGCTTGACCCCGCCGCCCGGAAAGGCCCGCAGCGCAAGAGCAGCCACCGGCCTCCCGCCCCCGCGCCGCGTCGCCCGCGAGGCCAGTCTTACGCGGGGAAAGCGCACGGTCGGCCGCGCCGCTTTCTCCCGCCGCCTTTGCGACCGTGCCGTAAGGCAGCCCCTCGCGCCGTCGCGGCTCTGCCGTGCGCTGCGGCCGTCGGGGGACGTTGGCCATGGCGGCCCTGCGGCCTTCGAGGAGGGTACTTGTCCCTCCGCTTTGCCGCGCCTTCGCTGGCCCCGGCTGTCAGCTCGCCCCCGAGCGCGGCGCGGAGCGCAGGGATGCGGCGTCCGGCCGGGTAAGCGGGGGTCCTGCAGAGGGCGGGCCGGGAGGGTGAACCGCCAGTGGCGACGGACCCAGGGACACCTGTGGGCCCCACACCCCTTTGTGCCCGGCTGCGGCGTCAGCCGAGCTCTCAGGGAGCAGGGCCCGCGGGGGGCGGGGGCGCGGAGAGGGAGCAGTCCGCCGCTTGAGGGGTGCCCGACCTCCCGGCCTCGGAGCCCCCAGGTCTGGAGGGTCTGGCCAGAGCCGAGGGTGTCGCCGCCAGCCCGGGGACTGTTGACAGAACCTACGCTGTTGCGGCGGAGGCCTCTGGCGAGTGTGTACGCACCTTCTCTCTTCTCGAAGATGGTTGTTAGAGTGGAAGAGCGCCTCATGGGCGCAGCGTGTTCTGTCGTTTTGGTCTGCGTTTTGACGTCCTCCAGATTGCTAGTGGCTCCCTGCAAGCGGTGGCACACCTCGCCGCGGCTTGTGGGAAAACCGCTCGGATAGTTTTCCTTGCCCGGAAGCTGCATACGTGCGTGTCGCGGATGGCAGGTTCATGTCCATGCCTGCAGCGACAAAGAATGACAGTTCTTACTAGTCGCACGTCTTTGGGGAGGGATGTTGTGTCTGCGGGGTCCTGGGCTTTGAGTCCAGCCTCCCGTGACAGTGCTCCCCGAGGTGCGGAATGGGCTGCAGATAAGCTGTTCAGACAAAGCCCACCTCTGCCAACAGCCTGAGGATGGAGGCGGGAGGACCTGCGGTAAAGAGGGCCGGTGAAGAATTCCAGAAGGCGTTCGCCTGTACATTTTCATTTCCGCGAGTTTGTTGCTGTTAGCATGCTTCTGTAGACCCAGCTTCCAAGTTCCGTCTAGCTTCCAGTTTCGGCAGGAAGTTAGCCGGAGGACTGGTCACCGGCTCAGTTCCCTGTTACAGCGGCCGCAGCTGTGACTTATATTTCCCGCAGCATAGAAACCGGCAGCGTCTCGGTCTTTGGGCAGGAGCTTATTCTACATGTATTCGAAACCGCATCTACAGCTGCCCGGAGGGTGAGAACTTACTTTAGCTTATTCCAGAACTAGTGCTGGAAAAAAGAACACACAAGGGGCTCCTGGCTGGCTCCGTCGGTGGAGCATGCAACTCTCGATCTGGGGACTGGGAGTTCAAGCCCCCACGTTGAGTGTAGACGTTACTTAGAAATAAAATCTTGGGGAAAAAAAAAAAAGAAGGTAGAACCCACACACAGTTTTCTTTATTGCTCCCTAGCCTTTGGTTAAAGCAAATCTTACCGTGGGTCTAACCCTCAGGGTGAGACCTTCCCATTGTAGTCCCAAAGTGACTAGGGAGCTGGTGTCTAAGCCTGTGACGGTGTTGATTGTGATGATGGGGAGTAGCTGGCCCAGGACTCAGACCTCGTCCTGTTCTAGCATTGTGACCTGTGGTGTTGTGTGTTTTTTGTTTTTTGTTTTTTAGGATGTGTGCCCTGTTATGCTACGTATGTATGGAACTTAAAGGAACAGTTTACTTTAGGGCATTATGTGTTCCTTTGTGTTCGGTCTTGTCTTTGAGTGTTTGCGGAGTACACGGCTGGTTCTCCAGATAATTAAATTCCTGCAGCACGGAGAGATTGTTGTCTTTCAGACTTTGATTTTAAATGTTAGGTCTTCTCAAAAGTAACATGTTGTAAACCTTCTGTTTTCTTTATTTAAGTAGATATATTTAAATCCTGTACGTTTAGTTCACACAGCATATTTTTAATTAAGTTTTTAAATTTAATTCCAGTACAGTTACCATACGTGTTATTAACTTCACGATATAATACAGTGATTCAGCACGCCCACACGTGACCTGGAGCTCATCACAGGTGTGCTCCTTAAGCCCCATTCCCCACCCACCTCTCCCCTGGTAACCATCGATTTGTTCTCTGTAATTTAAGAGTCTGTTTCTTGGTTTGTCTGCCTCTTTTTTCTTTCCTTTGCTCACTACTTTTTTTTTCTTTTCTTTTTTTAATATTTTATTTATTTGAGAGAGAGAGAGAGTATGAGAGGAGAGAGGTCAGTGGGAGAAACAGACTCCTTGGCGAGCAGAGAGCCCGACGTGGGACTCGATCCCAGGACTCTGGGATCATGACCTGAGCCGAAGGCAGTAGCTTAACCAACTGAGCCACTCAGGCGCACCTATTTATTTACTTATTTTTAAGATTTTATGTATTTATTTGACAGAGAGCACAAGCAGGGGGAGAGGCCGAGGGACAGGGAGATGCAGGCTCCCTGCAGAGCAGGGGAAGCCCCATAGGGGACTCAATCCCAGGACTCCAGGACCATGACCTGAGCGTAAGGCAGTGGCTTAACCAACTGAGCCACCGAGGCGCCCCATCTAGTTTTAGAATAAATAAATAAATTACAAAACAAATCAGCTCTTAAATTAAGTGTTCTCTAGTCACTTCACACCCCTTTATTCTTTACCTATGGAGGTTACATCTTTGGCTCCTAAACTTGTTTACACATTCGGAAGACTAAAAAAAAGATGTGATTGGTCTGGGATGTGGCCCTGGCGTCAAGACACTTATTTATTCTCTTGGCTTGGCTAGTTTCCCCACCCTCTCCCACCCAGGTTCATTGAAGTATGACATCAGGATTTTATGGGGGTGTCTAATATGGGTCACAAGTTAGAGAACCGCTGGTTACGTGATATGCCTTCATATTCGCTTGTAGTCCTGAATCTCATTAACATAGTAATAATTAACATTTATTGAGCATTTGCATGCCCCGCTCTGAAAGCTTTGCGTAGTTTTTAAATTTTATTTTATTTTAAAGATTTTATTTAATTATTTATTTGACAGAGAGAGAGAGAGAGAGAGAGAGTGCGTGCACACAAGCAGGGGGAGCAGCAGGCAGAGGGAGAAGCAGGCTCCCTGCTGAGCAGGGGGCCCAGTGCGGGGCTCCATCCCAGGAACCCGGATCATGACCTGCGCGGAAGGCAGAGGCTTAACCAACTGAGCCACTCAGGAGCCCTGAGCTTTGCATATTTTAGTTTATTTATTTTCACATATCAATGAAGGAAATGCTTTTATCATCCCCATTTTACACATGAGAAGATTTAAAGTATGGACAGATTGAAAAATATCCTCAGGATCACAGTGCTTGCACATGGGGAGTATCTGTGTTGTACTTCCTGTATCTGGAAGATAATGAAGTAAAATTTTTCTTCTAGTAATTGTGGATAAAAAAAAATAACAAACACGCCCTCAGTATGGAGAGGCAATATTTACAAATGAACAGTAGATGTACTGATCCCCTGTTTTGCTTACATTTGCATTAAAGAGAATGATCTTCAGCCCACACCCCCAACACACAAGTGTAGATTCCCAGTAAATATGAGGAAGTTAAATGCCAGATAAATGAGAAGCTGGTGAGAGGATTTTAAAATTAACATGGATATTTCTAGTATTTAAAAAGCTTTCAATATGTTTGTTGGGAAAAAAATGAAAACTGGGGCAGAGGACTTTAAAATCCTGTGGTCAGGGGCCCCTGGGTGGCTCTGTCAGTTGAGCTTCTGACTCTTGATTTCAGTTCAGGTCATGATGTCAGAGTCCTGGGATTGAACCCCACATCCTGTCAGGCTCTAGGCTAATGGGTGGTCTGCCCGTGAATACTCTCTCTTCCTCTCCCTTTGCCCCTCCCCTCTCTCAAATACATACATAAATCTTTAAAAAAGTTATATGATTAAACTCCATTATTCTCAAGACAAGGGCCCAGGGCCCAGAGAGGTGGAGTGACTGGCCTGGTGTTACCCAGCAGGGCTAAAGGGAGCCATTCTCACTCTCAGTCTGGTGTTTTCGTTTCCCCATGTGCTTTTTCATCAAGTGAAGCAATTACAGGGTTTCCCCTTATTCTGTTAATGTGCACAGTTGCACTCATTTCTTTTCTTGTTACTTACAGGAAATTTAAAACATGCAGAATGGGCCTCTTGGGTGGCTCAGTCATTAAGCGTCTGCCTTGGGCTCAGATCATGATCCCGGGGTCCTGGGATCAAGCCCCGCATCAGGCTCCCTGCTCAGCAGGAAGCCTGCTTCTCCCTCTCCTGCTCTCCCTGCTTGTGCTCCCTCTCTCACTGTGTCACTCTGTCAAGTAAATAAATAAGTACAACAACAAAAAAAACACAACCATGCATAAATGGAAGAATATAAAGAATTGCTCCCTGTACAGTTAGCTACCGGGGGTGGGGGGTGGGGTGTTTTATCACATCTTTACCCCACCCATCCCCCTCCCAGATCGTTTTGTGGCAAATACCAGAATGCATGTTTCATTTGTAATTGTTTCCATATGTAATAACTAAAATATTAAAATTCTTTAATTCCAGCAAATATTCACTGTTCAGGTTTTTCCAATTGTGTTAAGGATGCAAAGAAAAAAAAGAAAAAAGGATGTAGACAAGGTCTGCACATTGCAGTTGATTGATATTCTCTTTTTTTTTTTTTAATTTATTTATTTGACAGAGAGAGATCACAAGTAGGCAGAGAGGCAGGCAGAGAGAGAAGAGGAAGCAGGCTCCCTGCTGAGCAGAGAGCCCTATGCGGGGCTCTATCCCAGGACCCTGAGATCATGACCTGAGCTGAAGGCAGCGGCTTAACCCACTGAGCCACCCAGGCGCCCTGATTGATATTCTCTTAGTTCTCTTTTACTCTGTAGGTTTTGATCATCCTCTTCCGTTTTTCAAAGCAGTTTATTTGGGAGCAGGGGCAGGATGTGTCCTGTGGAATCCCCACAGTCTGCACCTTGCTCTTGGCGTCCCCCTGGTCTGATTTATGTCCTTCCATCTGTGTGTTTTCTGTAAATGGAAAGCTGTAATCGAGAGCCTTGACCACGTTCACATTTGACTTTTTTTTTTTTTTTTTGAGACGACTGCTTCTCAGTTGGGGGTTTGTCTTCTTCCCTTAGGATTGACTGATTTTCTTTTTTTTCTTTTTTTTATTTATTTATTTATTTTTTTTTTTAAAGATTTTATTTATTTATTTGTCAGAGAGAGAGAGAGGGAGAGAGAGCAAGCACAGGCAGACAGAATGGCAGGCAGAGGCAGAGGGAGAAGCAGGCTCCCCGACGAGCAAGGAGCCCGATGTGGGACTCGATCCCAGGACGCTGGGATCATGACCTGAGCCGAAGGCAGCTGCTTAACCAACTGAGCCACCCAGGCGTCCCGGATTGACTGATTTTCTGATGTTAAGTTTTCACGCGCAGTATAAACGCGTTTGGTCCTGATGTGCTAGTCTTTTTATGTACTGCTGACTGTGGTGTGCCGATCTGTCTAGCCTCTGTCTGGGTGGGAGATGGGGGACTCCAGCCCTCCAGAAGGTCAGACTTTCAGTTCCCATCTCTGACGCGTCTGGATGACAGACCGGGAAACACCTGCAGGAGCGCTGAAATTTGCCAACATCTGCTCCTTTCATCTTCGCCCGCTGGTTACCCCAGTGGCCGATAGTGGGACACTTTGACTCTGGAGCTTTGTGGCACGTACGGCCCGTCTGGGAAGGAGGCCTTGGGGGAAAGTCTTCCATCCCAGATCCTGGCTTGGGGTGGTGCGCAGCAGAGTGGGAGCGTGTGGGGAGAGCTCGGGGGCCTGCTGGAGGGCCC